TTGCAAAATCTACAAGTATACTGCCCATGTTTTTTTTTACTTGCTTTTTGTGTTGTAATATTCGTGATATCCTTATTTTAATGAGGCAGTTGGGCACGATAATACCGTGGGTACTAACAAATACAATATGCTCTTTTCTTTATTTGTAATACAAGATGATAACATGCAGTCTCGTATTGTTGCCCAGGCTTTTGTTTGCAATGAGACAACTGAAACATATCAATGGGTTCTTAAAATGACCAAGAAAGCAACAAATAATAGATGTCCTCATGTGTTTGTGATTGACAGCGATCTAGCAATGGAACATGCAGTAATTTTAGAGTATCAAGAGACGCAACACCTCTTTTGTATCTGGCATATCAAGGAAAACATCAAAAAAATATTATAAAGGAAGTTGGGAGATCAATTTGATGAATTTTATTGCAAGTTTTGGCAATGCCAAAATGCAGATATACCACATGTCTTCGAATACTATTAGAACTAGCTTATAGGCTTTTTTGCTGCAAAATTATACCTTGAGCACCATCTCTATAATAGATGCTTTTCGTGGGTGCGTGCCTTTACTGCCATGATATTCACACTCGGCATTCAAACTACATCATTTGTCGAAAGTCAGAATGCATGCATCAAGCGGGTGTTAGAGAATAGCAACACGTCACTATGCGATTTAGGTAAAGTATTAATGGAACGTAGCAAAGAGGAACAAAAAAGAAAGCAATTTGAGAAATGGAAAAGAGGTGTTCCTTCTATGACAAATGCAACTACTATTTTTTCTTCTATTGAATCTTTAGTTAAATGTTACCTGAAACCAAATGTTGCACACTTTTTGGCTAAACAAATGAAGGAAAGTTTATATTACACTGCTAGCTATGCTACAGTTGAAAAAATCAAATCACTTACCTCTTACGAATCTTCACAAAGTGAAGATATAGATGACAAGCCTGATGCTATTGTTTTGTATGCTATGTATCTTTTAGAATGTTTAAAACGTATCTCAATTGTGGAGATTTGGAAAATATCAAGGGTTATAAGTCAAGGGGTTTACCATTTTATATTTCTTCTTTCAGATAACTCATATAGCTATACTTGTCTTTTGCAATAAAGTAAAGAGCTTGTTTGTCGTCATTTTTACCATCTTCTAAATATTACCATTAAGGCACAATTTAGTTTGCAATTGATTGCACCACGTTGGATTTCTAAATCCTAACAATTAGATGCAGTGAAGGAATGTGTGTACTTTGGTCAATGTTTCAGTAATATTAAAGATAAAACTACTGATATGGATATAACTATGAGCAATAAGAATCAGTATATATGGTTATAACCATTTGCTAATAGTGAAACAGAAGAGATTACTGATGATGATTTTATCGATGAAATGCTTTTTTATGGGAAAGTTTGGGGTCTTGCACATACTGCTGTAAACAAATGCATGTTACATCATGATAATGAGTTTATTCTGTTAATTGAAAATTATTTGAATAGGGTTC